GCAGTATATGAAAGCGCGCGTACTCGTTACATTAGAGTCATAAGGCATGCAGTATATGAAAGCGCGCGTACTCGTTACATTAGAGTCATAAGGCACGCAGTATATGAAGGCGCGCGCACTCGTTCCATTAGGAATCATAAGGCATGCAGCATATGAAAGAACTGACCGGATTTGTAGGAAAAAATATACACATCTAGGGCTGCCTACTACATATATGATCACCGATTAGCGTGAAGAGACGTACTACCGAAAAAAATTACGAAAACAAGAGTTTTTGAAATTTAAATCAGTTTATTTTACTCAAAATCACGTTTGTTAGCTAAACAAAATGCACTTCTTGCTAACGATGACCGTTATTTACAGTTCATGAAAGACGATGGCGTGCAGGTTCTTTTTGCTGATGGTGCGACCAGCAAATGTCAGCTATATCCATCAAACCAACTCCCCAGTCCTGCTGTAGTGAATAAACCTCCCGAGGCCTCCCRTGCAAAGAAGGGCCCTAGAACGACGTCATCGCAGAAGTCTTCTGAAGACCCTCCAGTACCCGTTTTGTCTTTACCGGATCAGGTCCCTCAGTGGATTAGTACTGGTATAGGGGGAGCGAGGGTTGGGAACAAGGAAGACGGACAGATCGAGTCGATCGACGGTGTATTGTATTCAGTTGCCACGTGTGCAGAGACTGGTCAGGTAAGCGATTAGCCAATCACTAATAATCTATCACGTGTTATGCTGTGGTTTCTCTCATTCCAATGATTCTTCTTGCTCAGGTTCTTCGTACCCGAGAGGACAACGTTGTAACAGTCGAACGTCCCGACGGCAGCTTGGTTGTTGAACACGAAGACGGAACACGTATCACTACATTTTATCATCAAATTGAACGTCAGACRCAGGTCCCTGATAATGAGACCGGAGATCAAGCACAGTACGACACGTTCCAAGGAAAATTCGTTAAGGTCGAGTGTCCTGGGTTCGCTGCACTTGTATTCAACCTGACCGAGGGGTCTTGTGGGACAGTGTTTGGTAATGGGGTCAATATTGAGACATGCGCAGATGGGATTACTACTATTGATAGGCCTGATGGAACACAACTGCACATTGACGATAGAGGTACTTTTACTGTACTGTCGATTCCACACATCAATGCACTGCTTTTAAAACTGAACTTCAAATCAAGATTGTGAACAGTGCATTCGCACTTTGAACCTTGATTTGAATATTCTTGTTAAAATAATATGTACGTTTGTGCATGGACAAGCTGCTTTTCGGGACTCAGCAGACATTAAAGGGACACTGTCAATGGATGACATGCGCAGTAACAGTCTCGCCGCTAACGGACTTTGAAAGTATTACGTTCGTGGTAAATCATTTTGT